ACACACACACACACACACACACACACACACACACACACACACACACAGGCATGCGCACACTGCCGCTCATTAAACTCATTACCTAGCAGGCACTGTGCTATACACTTTCCTTTCTCTTTCTCACATAATCCCTCCAAGGACAACTAAACAAACTCTAGATTTTTAAAAGTTCAGCAACTATTATTCCTCAACTAAAACAGCCTTTTACTTTGCCATTTCAGTGAATTTTAAGTGGTAAGTTTAAGAAAAAAAGTAGCCTAAATCCAGAAGACAAATTTAGAAAGTCCTCAATACATTAAAAATAAATTTTTACTATGCTGCCACAATTTTATCTATTGTACAGTCTTCCTTCATCCTCAACTACAAACATTCTAAATCTGCATGATTAACTCTGCTTTTTCTTTAGTTAACATACAGTCAGAAGCTGATAGTTATTATTAGCATTTACCATTTTACTATAGGTCAGTTGCTTTGCCAGGAGCTTTATATTTGTTAATTAATTTAATTGTTAATTGGGATTAAAAAGGAATTAAGTAGTTCACCCAGGAACTACACAACCAGTTAGCAATGGAAACGAGATGTAAACTCAGGTCTAATCCAAAATGCCACTCTCATATTATGCCATACCTTAAAATCTAGGGAGTTTATTAAAAGAGATGTATTTAGGTGGACGAAATGGGGGAGCAGGGCAGAGTGATCCTATATTTTACAGTAGGAATAACCTTGGAAATCAGAAACTAGTCACTCCATCTTTGAATTATTTAAGAAACATTTAAATGATCAATTGGTTAACAACGAAAAAGTACAAGAACATGCAACACTGGATAAAAATTAAAAATTTCTATAAATGGTCATGTCTATCCAACTTTGAGAAAATGGAACAACCAGAATGTGTCATAATTTCCAAAAACCACCCCTAAAAATGGAAGAAAATAATTAAGTACTTGCCTAAAAGATGCCAAAGAATCTTTTTTTAATGTGCATGACATGGATTCATTAATTCAAACATTTACTGGAAGTCCATTATATACTTAATACTATAAGCTGGAGGATGAATCAAACCTGTGGGCTCTTTTAGGCCCTAATACCTATAACAGCATAGAGGGTCACTGAAGCTTCTCCAGTTGCCACATATGCTTTGGGGATTATTTTATCTCTTTAAAAATAAAAGAAAACAAAACTTTCAGCACTTCCAAACAATTCTCCCCTACTCTCCCAAAATATTACTTAGACTCTTAGAGCAAACTATTTATCTAAGCCAGTTATTGAACTTGACACAAAATCAAAATGAGAATATTTCAAAGCATAAGAATTAAAGAGACAGCATTAGTCCCATGTAACAGGTTCACAAATGGAAGCATTCATCTAGTGGAGTTTAAACAGCCTCTCTTAATACTGGCTCCTTAAATCACATTGCAAGTCACAAAGCCCGCAGCTTCTATGTAAACTTAAGATAAACAAAACAAAAATCAGTCTTATCTGAATTCAAATACTCCAGGCTTTCACAACTTCAATTATCAGGATAACAATTTTTAACTCTGTACTGATTTTTACAAACATAAGATGGAACAAAGACATAAAAGAAAGTTCTAGTTAATTATACTGAGCTATATTTCTATGCCAAAACCAAATCTCACCAAGAAGTTATAAAATACTTTAGGTTATAGGTTAAAGCTGGTGAGTAAAGTAATCTAACTGGTTCCCAAAGTCTGACTATTGTTACATTTTAAAGCCATGGTCAAAACTTCAAATATAAAAAAGCAATCCAGGACTTCCCTGGTGGCACAGTGGTTAAGAATCCACCTGCCAATGAAGGGGACAGGGGTTCGATCCCTGGTCCAGGAAGATCCCACATGCCTCGGAGCAACTAAGCCTGTGTGCCACAACTACTGAGTCCGCGTGCTGCACCTACTGAAGCCCGCCACCGGAATGAGAAGCCCGTGCACCGCAACGAAGAGTAGCCTCCCGTGCACCGCAACGAAGAGTAGCCTCCGCTTACCGCAACTAGAGAAAACCTGCGCCCAGCAACGGAGACCCAATAAACGCAGCCAATAAATAAATTAATAAATAAATAAAAATTTTTTAAAAAGCATTTATTCTAAAAGCTTGGAGCAAATACAAATGTACAAAATGTTCAGCCTAATTCTATCAATTAATAAGTTAAAAGCTGGTATAGATCCTCCAACATGACAGTCTCACTTATTTAGTAAAGTTGTAAAGATAAACTCTGGCTGTTCCAAGGATTTTTATTTTACTACATTGTTGGGAAATTTGAGCTCAGTTTAACCAAAGGTATTTTCTTTTAACCTAGTTAAGACACAGCTGAGATAACAGTGAAATAAACAAGTATTTCTACCATAAAAAACATAGCCTAGTTATAAATACAAAATAAAAATTGACTATTCCTAAAGGGTATGAATAGGCCCAGACAGTAAATATATAGTCATAAACACAGTAATGCTACTTTATACAAGCAATCCCTTCTTGATTCCCAAAGTTTACACTTGGGAATTTAACAACTGTAAACCAATACCCAAGCACAAAGTAAGAAGTCAAAGGTCCCCCCAACCCCACTTAAATTCTCCAGCTTATCTTTTTAACATACAGCTAAATGTTACTTGTTGTACTTTTTCCCTAAAGGTAAAAAAAAAAAATTAGGCAGGAATTCTTTCCTGCTTCTGAACAAAGGAATTCCAATAAAAACTCACATATATGATAACAAAATTACCACCTCTAAACCAAGTTCTACAAATGGAAAATTGTTTCCAAGAAAAAGCAGCAAAGAAACCAGAGTAGTTAGCTTGACATCTGAACTTCACTTCCCCCCCTCCCCCAAATATCAGCAAATAACTTTCCTCCCACTAGTCAAAGCCCACCTCAGGGCTTAAATTCTCTGTCCCTGACTGTATTTTTTATTTATATATGTCATTTAAGTAATAGTTTCTTAATATGCTAAATATCACTAGTCTTTCATAATAGCCCTAGCACACAACTTGAATAACACTTGATACTATGACAAACCAGAAGATGAAAGTTTAAAAAATGAAAGGATGGGACCTTTTACAACTTGTCATAGTCTTGTCAAAATACGTCAAACTTCTGTAAGCCAGGAACATATTTCAATGTGTTCTATCAAGAGAATGATGAAAATAAA